TACAGGTTCCCACGGTTGAAGTATGTAACTGAGACCGTGATGAGAATACGTCTACGCTGTATGCGATAGAGTGTGATATAAAATAGTGTAAAATATAAGGAAAATGGAAATTTGTGACACAAAGCACGGTCTCACACTATCTCAATTTTTCCAAGTCTATCTTACTTCAAACTCTCAAACGCATGCCTGAGGGTAGTATATCCTTCCCCAGTGACTCACAGTATGAAGAGTTCTCTGCCATGATCACTGCTTGCCATCCATTACTGGTCAGGGCTTTCGGGAGTGTTGAAGGGCTCAACCTCATTGCCCAAGTTGTGGATGACCCAGAGATAGAGAATGCAACATACAATGCATGGAAGGAAGATCATTTTATTAGTAATGTGTTCACATTCTCACCAAAGGGTAATTCATCTCTGCGATATGCATTTCTCTTGTATAGTGAGCTGAGGATGAATTGACAGACAAGATCATATGTGCAGTGTTGAATGCACCTAGCACCTGGCACGATTCACACATTGCTCACCCACTATATGTGAAGCTACGTGCTAGGACACCTGAAGGCTTCTATCTGGTTGCCGATTCTGCATTTCCGCGCGGCACTAAAGTGATTGCAGCGAAGATTCAAGCACCCCTCAAGGGTGGCTCAGTTGTCCCAAGTGATGCTGTCATGCTCAAAGACACCCTTCAGTTCAATCGGCAGCTGCTGTCGTACCGACAAATAGCAGAATGGGGTATGCAGATGCTCCAAGGGTCCTTTGGTCGGCTTCGAGTTCCCCTGGATATCAACAATTCCCAGGGCCGCATGGAGCTCTTGGAGATTTGTGCAAGACTGAGCAATGTTCGTGCTCGGCGGGTGGAAATCAATCAAATCCATCAGGTCTATGAGCCAACATGGCGAGCATCAGAGAATGAGGCTCTATGAGATGATTTGGGCAGCATGGTGTTTGGTGAGGTTCGGAAACGTGATCGGGTGCCAAGGTATCATTTGTCATAGTATAAGTAGAGTGTAATCCTACAGACAAGTGCCTAGCTATCAAAAGTGCAAAATAATGAGGTATTGTGCTGATAAATAGGATGTTTACAGCAAGAAAAGCGAACTATAGCAGGTAGAATGGACTCCAAGAGCTGAAAAAGCGATGCCTACTATCAGAAATGCGAATGAATGGGGTATTGTGCTGATGAATAGGATGTATACAGCAAGAAAAGCGATCAAAGGGAAGGTAGAATGAGCTCAAAAGACCAAAAAAGTGATGTCTGCTATCAGAGAAGTGGAAGAATGGGGTATTGTGCTGATAAATAGATGTATACAGCAAGAAAAGTGGTCAAGGGAAGGTGGAAGAAGTGTTGGGAGCAAAAGGAGAGAGGATAATACAGATATCAGTTGCAGTTACTCACTGGTGAGCATTGTTGGATGGTCCTGCTTCAGGCTGCTCAATTTCCTCCAAATGTGATTTTGAGTCTGTCTCCATCTCCATACTGGCATACTGAGTGTGTTTGTGAGGGCTGAGTATCAGAGCACGAGTTGTATTAGAGAAGGGAGTGGAAGTGGAAGCGGAGTGAGTGTCGCGGAAGGAATGGAAGTCACGCTCTATCTCTTGCACGTCCCAATCAGGCGAGGCAGCGTGTTTGCAGCTGAAAGCAGTTGGTGCAGGTGAGTTGCGCTGGAGTGACCACATAAAATGTAGCTGGTCTTCAGCACAATCAGCCCGTTGTTTTTGCTCGTAAAGCTGATCACGCAGATCGTTGATGTGCACACGAGTGTCACGAAGCTCCTCCTGCAGAGACAAAATCTGCTGGAACTGCAGAGTTTGAGAGAGGCGATCCTGCTCATGTTGTTGAATGGAAGCGGGATTCATCATTGTGCTGATCCCATTGAGGACATCAGTGGCAGCACTTGTACGCCAGGGAGCCGGAGCCTTAGCCGGAGCCTGGCTGTGATAAGCTTTGGCCACTTTGAACTTTTCGGCCTTTTGGATTTTCGTGAAGGGCTTGATGTCATGGCCACTGTCGCTGGCACTATTATCTGAGATCTCAATGACTTCCTCGGAGTCCATACCCTCAACATCCTCGACACCCGATTCAACAGAATGGATACCCGCCTTCTCATTGATTGCTGCTTTGAGATCTTGGGCAAGTCAGATGTGGTCCGGCATTTCGCCCACGCCTGTTGGTTTTGGTGTGGCGGCAAGCTATTAGGATATATTTGATTAGTTTATGGAAGTATAGACATGACATGGAGGACGCACTGCTGCAAACTTAGTGCGGATAGACTTATGGTCTTGATCATCCTTGTACCCACGCTTCTTGCACCACTGGGAATATTCCCAGGTGACGACAAGCCAAGTGTTGGGTCCAAGAGGCAGATACTTCTCTATGAGTTGCAGCAGTGCCTCAATCTCTGCCAGTGAATAGTTCACTGCTCCGGGCTTCCTGCCTGCTTTAGCAGCTGCCTTCGAAGCCGCCTTGTCCACTTTTGGCACACACTTCTTTTTGCCGGCACTGTCAGCCTTCTCGGGACGTGTGCGCACTGGTTTTGCGGGAGCCTGAGAAGGCTCTGAAGTATGCTTCTTGCCTTTGTCTGTGGCTCTTATGGCATCAGCATATGCATCCATCTCTAGCTCGGATGGGGTCGGAGATGGTGCACTCTCCGGCAGTGGCTGAGGATTCCTGTGATTGGCATCCTGTTGTGTGTCCACACCGGCCCATTGAGGATGCAGGGCATCAAAGGCACTGATATGGGGGAGTGAATTGATGTTGCTCCAATTGGGTACTGGTGGGCGCTGCTGTGCTATGTGTAAGATATCTGTTAAATAGAGTAGCATTTGTACATACTGGGGTATTGAATTAGTGTCCCTGCGCGTTGTTGCCGCCGGGGCCACTGAACATGCTTGGGGCTCCATTGTGGCCACCAGTGGCAACTTGAATAGGAGGAAGAGACAGATTGATGTTCTGCTCACGGTGGCGGGCAGGAGTGTGGAAATGTTGATCCATAGTGGTAATGAGTGTTATGAGTATAGATTTTAATGGGCAATATCGGTGTAGAGAGAGAAAAAGAGGAGGGTAGGCACCAATTTGTGCCACAATTCCAAATGGAGGACACATCTCAAATTGAGGTCAAGTTGTCCCATATTCTCGGTTTCCCATCAAAAACAGACTCTGTATATACAATTTATGGTCGACTTTTCACCTGTAGAGGGGGTCAGACCCCTCCACAAATTTCTCATTGTCAAGGAGTTTACAACACCCTCCAGTTGATCAGCCTCGTCCTGATATGGTAGGCCATCACTCGGCATCCTGGCAAGTGAGGAACTGAAGCTGAAATCTGCAGCAAATGTCCGTAAATTTCTTACAGGAAGTCACCCAGTATAATATAAAATAGTGTGAAATATAAGGAAAACAAAAAAAATGTGACATACACCATTTATCAATATGTAGCCTCCACTTTCCACTCAAGCAGCTGGTTTTAGGAGGATGAACCTGCCCATAGATGCTAGAACTTGATATAAAAGAATAATAAAAGAATAGCAAAAGAGATGATCGGCCCCGGGATCGATCCGAGTACCTTCAGTGTTCAAATCCCAGAAGGACTGTTAGACTGACGTGATAACCATTTACACCAGCCGACCTTATAAACTGCAATAAAACATTTTATATGATCTGTCTTCCTTCTATCTAATTCTCCTTCAAGCTAGATACCAGGCTAGTGACTCAGAAGTGTGCCCATGAACTTGAGACAATGAAGTTACTGAAGGAGTTTCAATTTTTTCCAGGTAAATTTTTTAACATACTACCATCATTAGTTGAAAGTTGGATGTGTTATTAATACACTAAAGCAGCTGGATAAAAATATAGTAAACAATTTTCCAGAAAAGATTGCAGACAATAGAATTGATAGAACATTTGATAGTGATGATTACCAGTTGTCTTTGACCCAATGTCATATTATAATATGGTATTATGATAAAACTAAGCAATAAGCCACAAAAATTGAACAACACTGTATCTATATGTAAAAGAACGATCTGCAGAAACAAGTAAAGAGAATATATAACTAACTATGCAAAGAGAAATGAAACTGTAAACATGAAGACCCTTACAATAGTGTATCCTTTATAAATTGCTATGGCCACTGGCTAATTACATCAATCTAGTATAAGCCTGGCACCTGTGACACATATGGCTCTATGGAGAGTCTTGTGCCACCAGGTGTTGATACTTGTTTACCTACAGTAGCTTTTAGACATAGCACAGCCACTGTATTCTATTAATTCATTCTATTATCATTCTCTTTGCCTGGGCCTGGTTTCGTCTGCTCTTATAGTTAGGTAGCAGGCACTAGGCACTAGGCGACACCTAGCGACTCGCCCCACAAGTCGGGGCACCACCGTGCACTAGTGTTGCCCCTCCTCTTTAGGAGCTTGGCTGCTATTTACATTTTTCTCTCTTCTTGCCCTCCTCCAACAGTCCTAGTACCTCTCCATCAACTCTAGACTGCTCCAGTGGCCTCGCGTAGCCTATCCTCCTTAGGATTGAGCTGCTTCCGCACCATTGGCCTATCTCACCCTCGACTACCGACTCCACTAGGGCTCCACTACTGATCCTGACTGTCCCGGCCTGTGCAGCTCTTCCTGTTTAGGATGCAGCTGCTTCTCATCTCTCTCACCTCTCGCCGCGGACTCTCGACGCCCCTAGCGACTCGCCACCGACCCCGCCAAGGGCCCGGGGCTCCCGCAGGAGCTCTGGACCCCTCCATGGACCCATGTCCACCCAGTGCCTAGCTCGCTTGTCCACTGTTCCAGAATCCTACCTGTCTCAGCTCTCGGGCTGTCACAGCACCACAGGCTTCCCATTTTGGATATGTTTTCCAACACATTTTGTTTACTTTTGATTTGCTTTGCAGTTATCTTTTCTTAACTTAGACCTTAGCTCATCCTGTCAATATGCTCTGGTTTGGATCAAACACTAGTCTTGTTTTCTGTTTTCTGTCTAAACCCACTTTCTGAGTATTTCTTACTACAGACATAGCCAAAATTATTGCAGCATTCTTGTGGGGCCATTGTGCTTACTCACCTTGTCATAGCTCACGAACAACTTTGGTTTGTGACTGGCTGTAAGTGAACAAAATGTACTTTAGATAGTGAAGATTACAATTGTAATGTACAAAAAAATAAGAGCATAATTTGCATGTAAAATGTGCAAGTACAATATCAGATCTGCTGTTGCTCACAATTGGCACATACTCTTCGGATATTTGCAAAGCAATAGTATGTCAAATAAATCCACAAGATATAATAGTCTTTAGTTCTTAGTGTAAGACCCCTCTGCCTCCATAAGAGCAGCCACAAGAGACAGTATAGACATGTAAAGAGTGAGAATAGTGTCAAAGGCCAAATTTCTCCATTTCTCCTCTAATGCAATCCACAACTCCTTCAAATTTGTTGGCAATGGGTTGCAAGCATGCACTTGATGATCTGCTTCATCCCATGCATGTTCTATAATGTTTATATCTGGCAACTGTGGTTTCCACTTGAGCACATTGACACCTCAGCCTTGAAAACAGGCCTGAGCACAGGCAGATGTGTGCTTTGGGTTGTTGTCCTGCTGGAATATGATGTCGGAAGTTTAAATGGATTGGTCACAAAAGATTTCAAGAAGAGATGTTTGAAGAATACTAGGATATTGAATGACATTCATCTTTCCCTTGATATGCTGAAAGTGGCTAGTTCTAGTTGATGTGATGCATTTCTACACCATGATGCTTCCACCTCCATGCTTAACTATCTCCTTCACATTCTGCTCCAGAAAAATGCCTCACTAGGTTGCCTATGGTAGTACTGAATGCCATTTGAGCCAAATAAATTGAATTTTGACTCATTGAGGAACCAAACATGCTGCTAGTCCCCTGTTCCTCAACTCTTGTATTCCTCTGCTTATGTCATTCACTTCTCCTTGTGCTTTGCTGTCAACAACAGCTTCTCATAGCACACCCGACCATGCAAGTCTATCTCACAAAGGTTTCTGCAGATTGTCAGGACCTGTGGATACCTTGGACGAAGCAATAGGTTTGAGAGCGATAAGAGAGAGCAAACAAGGGTTAAGTAGAACAGGTTGTAGATTGACGAAAGAGGTCTGTGAGATGGAGAACAT